CCAGTTGGCTTCCATGCCTAAGTCAGGACTAGAATTCACCGTCTCCTAGTTTCTCGGCCCTCCCCTTAACCACGAGGCCAAAATGGCTCCCTTAATAATGAGAAGGAGCTGTTCGTTTGGATGCCCTCTAAAATTCACGATGGCCAATTTAGAAACAAGACAACCTCAATAAATATAATTGACTGACAGACTCACTGATTGATTCATCACTATAAATTATTGCCTAGATCGATTCCCCCCCCGCCCCCCGCCCAAACAAAATGGAGACAAAGAGAACGGGCAGAAACCCGTTTCGACAAGGCCCCCTCAATTGGCCAGAAGGGAAGTCTTATCTAGGCGTGTATCGCAAGCACAATTTTCAATTAAAAACACAAAAAAGGCGACGAGAGATGAACTTGACGCCCGGCGGGCGAATCATCCACGCGGTTTTCTTGGCTGTTTTGAAAGTGGGTTTTTTGCCAACATCTTTTCACTCTGTCTTACAATCTTGGGAATTCCCAGGCCCCGTTCATGTAGTCACACGTGGGAGGAGGAGAACCAAACCAGACAGTTAATAGAGGTGCAGATGATAGAAAGGACGTAAAAATGGGGCGACGCTCACTTAGGAACATCAAATCTGAGCTCAGTTGTGGCCGTAAAGTCAGTGGATACACCTGTACTCCTGAAATGCTTATAGCAGGACTTGTAGCTGCTATCACAAACCACAGGACAGTAACCCATACAGAAAAACTTAAGTGCTGGATAACAGGAAGATGCTCTCCTGCATTAAAAACCAATTATTTGGGGCTATGACTGGCGTTTTATTTCTTTTTGAACCGTAATGGATGCACAAGGTCTAGCCAATGCTATTGTTTCACCCATACTGCTTTTGGATCGATTCCTAAACAATTTGGGGACAGCGAACGACAGATTTAGACAAAGCCAAGGCTGCCGAGGTCTTTCTGTAGCTACCAGAATTGCTGAGCCCGAATTTTGATCACGTGAGCGCAGGGATGCTGCAACGGCGTGAAATAAGTGTGAAAAATCCACCGTACGTCGTCTTTTTCAGTGCCGTTCTAACTTTGAATGGTTACTGAATGATTGTTAAGTCAAGGACTATCTGCAACTAGAGTAGGGAGAATTTTCAATCGCCGCAATGAGATTTAAACCGTGGCTGCTACTCCTGTAATAGCCCTTTAAGTGTGATTACAAGTCTATTTGCTAAGCTTACACACCAAGTTATTTTAGATCTATTTCTTCGGCCCAATCTGTCATTTAGGCAAGTTAAATTCCAATTTAATAAAGTGTTATCAGATACTATACAACAGAATGTTATCAAATATTATGTATTATGTATTATATATTATTCTCTATATTAAGTTCATATACCAGAGTTAATTGTATTTTACCCCTAATAAATCATTACCACATCAAATCAAACTTGTTTAAAGCTAACAACCAACTCTAGAATTTCTCACTCTATACATACCTTTATCCTATAATGTATATTAATATTTAAGGTTCCAATTCATCTGAGACAACCCTATTTAACAGACCTTAAAATTTTTGTATATCCAAGATCAATTTCTTTAGGAAGGTCTTCATTTCCTCTTAGTGGAAACGCAACAAAAAAAAAGCTGCATTTTTATGAACACATTTGCATTAGCAGTAGCAATAGCTTAGACCAGTGATGGCGAACCTTTTCGGCACTGAGTGCCCAAACTGGCCGGTGTGCCTTCATGTGTGTGCCAGAAAACGATGACCAGCTGGCTGGTGCATGCAGGCCTGTTTTTCAGGGCTGTTTTTTGGCTGTTTGGGGGGTCTGTTTATCAGACCATTTTTGGCCTGAAAAATGGCATTTTGGCTGTTTTCCAAGCTGTTTTTCAGGCCATTTTTTGAACCATTTTCTGGCACTCCAGCACCCACGAAAACCAGCTGGCTGATGAGCATGTGCGCACCAGAAACCAGAAGAGCAGCCCATTGAGAGGGCTCTGCGTGCCACCCCTGGCGCGCATGACACAGGTTCGCCATCGCAGGCTTAGACTTATATACCACTTTATAGTGCTTCCCAGCCCTCTCTAACCGGTTTTACAGAGTCAGCCTCTTGTTCCCCCGACAATCTGGCTCCTCATTTGACCCACTTCGGAAGGAGGGACGACTGAGTCAACCTGGAGCCTGGTGAGATTTGAGCTGCCAAATTTCAGGCAGCTGGCAGTCAGCAGAAGGAGCCTGCAGTACTGCACTCTTAACCACTGCGCCACCTGGGCTCCTTTAATTAAGAAAATTAATAAGGAAAAAAAAAAACCTGCAATTGCTGAACTGCGTGTAATCTATTAGGGCAGAGGTGTCAAAATACAAGTGACTAATAAACAAGGACTGGAGCCAGAGGTGGTATATTCAGCCGGTTCGGACCGGTTCTCGAGAACCGGTAGCAGAAATTTGGAGTAGTTGGGAGAACCGGCCAATCCCACCTCGGACTGGCCCCGCCAACCCCCATCTCTTCTCTGCCTCCCTTTGAGTCCCAGCTGATCGGCTGAGTCTTCCTTTGGTTGCCCTGCACAGGAGAACGGAGCTGGAAAGCAGGTTAGTGGGGTGGGGAGGGAAGGGGGATCTTGCAGTATCCTTCCCTTGCCACGCCCACCAATGCATGCCACGCCCACCAAGGCATACCACGCCCACCAAGCCGCGCCCACCCCTGATCGTCTGGGTCTTCTTTAGTTGCCCTGCACAGGAAAACGGAGCTGGAAAGCAGGTTAGTGGGGTGGGGATGGAAGGAGGGTTTTGCAGTATCCTTCCCCTGCCACGCCCACCAAGCCACGCCCACAGAACTGGTAGTAAAAAAAAAAAATGTCAATCCCACCACTGGCCAGCCTGCATCCCTTTGGCCTGGTCTACCCAGTGTGAAAAGGAAACACGCCAGCAATTTGGGGAGTGGTATCAAGGCGGCCATGCCTAGCCAGTCAGCCACACCCACCCCGTTGGCCACACCCACCCAGTTCCCCCCACCCCACCAACAAGGTCAACCAACAGCCCTGATACGGCTCTCAGTGAAGTTTGACACCCCAGTATTAGGGCAAAATTTCTCAAACCTTGGTGGCTGGAAGAAGGGTGGACTTCAACTCCCAGAATTCCCCAGCCAGCCTGTCCAGGCTGGCTGGGGAATTCTGGGAGTTGAAGTCCACCCTTCTTCCAGCCTCCAAAGTTGGGAAACCCCCGTTTAACGGTTTCAATTGACATTCATACTCAAAACGCTTCGACCGACAGAAAAATCCCAGTGGGAGACTGTTTGGTCCAAGGAACACCCCCCCAAAAAAGGCTCAGGCTCTCAATCTTCCCTTTTTTTCTCCAAGATTTCAAAATTACGTCTTCCTGAAACTCTGTGGCAGCCTTCCTCCTTGTCAAGGAGAGCTCAACCAAGGACGTACGGTTGCGCTAATGGATCCTATTACATCCTCGATCATTTCCTGGAAGAAAAAACAGCTCGGATTCATCTCAGGACTGACTTCCTGTTCAAATGGGCTTCGTTTCATTTGATCCGCTGAACAATGTGTCCCTTCGGAGAACAAGCGTTTTAAAATCACGAATGTTCCTGCGAGGCCGGCAGGCAGACAGAAGACAGAAAAACTCCTATATCCTTTTTCATTCCTTTTTTTTTTTTTAAATGAAATAATAATTTTATTACTATTATAATGAAATGTTCGTACTTGGAAACCTGTTCGCTGCCCACAGTCACTTGGTGAGATGAGTAGCCACAGACACGGAATTAAATAAAGCCATTTAAAAACAAGGAAGCCAAAACGTAATAACAGACGTGCACATCTTTTATTACTGAGCTACTACACTTTTTCAGCAGTTTGGGAATCACCGGGTTGCACCGGGTTGCAGAAATGTGGGAAGAGCGACAAGTCTTAGCGTCTGATCTGCTTACCCCGTATTCTTGGCACAGTCTCTCTCTGGAGGAGAATTCCGAGGAAGTCGAACCTTCAAATCAGTAGGACTGCAAATAAAAAGAGCAAAATTTGGTTTTACTTTGGCGGTTCTGCCGCAATGAAAGCACACAAAAAGAAGAAGGTGGGGGGGAGGGAAGGAAGGTTTTACACTTAGGTGGGAAAACCCAAAATGTACAAGGGACAGATCAGGCAAAACCTGGCTCAAATAGCAATAGCACTTAGACTGATCTACCGCTTCACAGGGATTTCTTGCCCTCTCTAAGCAGTTTACAGAGCCAGCCTCTTGACCCCAACAATCTGGGTCCTCATTTTACCCACCTTGGAACGACGGAAGGCTGAGTCAACCATGAGCCAGTCAGGATTGAACTGCCGGCAGTCGGCAGAGTCAGCCTGCAATATTTACATTCTAACCACTGCACCACAAGGAAGGAGAAGGAGAAAGGGAAGGAAGGAAGGAAGGAAGGAAGGAAGGAAGGAAGGAAGGAAGGGCACTTAAGACTTATACACCGCTTCACAGCCCTCTCTAAGCGGTTTACAGAGTCAGCCTCTTGCCCCCAACAATCTGAGTCCTCATTTTACCCACCTTGGAAGGACGGGTGGCTGAGTCAACCTTGAGCCAGTCAGGATTGAACTGCCGGCAGTCGGCAGAATTAGCCTGCAATACGGCATTCTAACCATTGTGCCACCCAGGGCTCAGGTGGATAGATAGATAAGGTACAATATGGAATAAGAATAGAATAAGAGAATAAGAACAGGATAAGATAAGATGGGATAGGATAAGATTCTGTATACAGTAGCTAGCTAGCTATGTAGATAAACAGATAGCAATAACAATAGCAATTAGACTTATATGCCACTTCACAGTGCTTTGCAGCAGTTTACAGTCAGCCTCTTGCCCCCCCAGCAATCTGGGTCCTCATTATACCGACCTCGGAAGGACGGATGGCTGAGTCACCCTGGAGCCAGTCAGGATCGAACTGCCAGCAGTGGGCAGATTAGCCTGCAATACGGCATTCTAACCACTGCGCCAGCAGGACAAAGAATGAGAAAGGGGATTAAGAGAGGAAGGAAAGAAGGAAGGAAGGAAGGGAGGGAGGGAGGGAGGGAGGAAGGAAGGAAGGAAGGAAGGAATAGCAATAGCACTTAGACTTATATATCACTTTGTAGTGCTTTACAGCCCTCTTTAAGTGGTTTACAGAGTCATCCTTTGGCCCCCAACAATCTGAATCCTCTGAAGGATGGAAGGCTAAGTCCACCTTGAGCCTGGTGAGATTCGAACTGCCAAACTGCAGGCGGCCAACAGTCAGGAGAAATACCCTGCAGTACTGCACTTTAACCACTGTGCCACCGAGGCTCTTGAAATAACCGTGCAAGGGATCTTGGAGGCCTAACGGACGATCCCTTAAACACGAGCCAGGGGTGTGTGGCGGCAGCCAGAAAAGTTAATGCCATCCCTGGTTGCATAAACAGAGGGACAGAGTCAAGTTCATGAGAAGTATTTGCATCGCTTTATAAAAACTTCAGAGTTAAGGCCACACCTGGAATAACCGCGTCCAGTTTTGGTCACCATATTGCAAAAAAAAAGAGGTTGAGACTTAGAAAAAGTGCAGAGAAGAGCAACTGGGAAGATGAAAGGCCTGGAAACTAAAACATATAAAGAACAGTTGCAAGAACTGGGCTTGGCCAGTCTAGAGAAGAGGACAGGATAGCAGCCTTCCGATCTTTGAGGGGCTGCCATGAAGAAGAGGGGAGGGTCAACCTCTTCTCCAAAGCCCCTGAAGGCAGGACAAGAAACAACGGATGGAAACGGATCAAGGAGAGAAGCAACCTGGAATTAAGGAGAAACTTCCTAATTGTGAGGACAATTAACCAATGGAACTGCTTGCCAGCAGAAGTCGTGGGTGCTTGGTCATCGGAGGCTTTTAAGAAGAGATCAGACAACTGCTTGTCTGAAATGGCATAGGATCTCCTGCTTGAGCAGGGGGCTGGACTAGAAGACCTCTAAGGTCCCTTCCAAGTCTATTATTCTGTATTCTTTAAGGCAGGGGTCTTCAAACTTGACAGCTTTAAGACTTGTGGACTTCAACTCCCAGGATTCCTCCTCCAGTCCATGTTAGCTCAGGAATTCTGGGAATTGAAGTCCACAAGTCTTCAATTTGCCACGTTTGAAGACCCTTGCTTTAAGGGAAGGAAGGAAGGAAGGAAGGAAGGAAGGAAGGAAGGAAGGAAGGAAGGAAGGAAGGAAGGAAGGAAAAGAAGGGAGGGAAGGGAGGAATGGAAAGGAGAAAGGGGAGGAGGGAGGGGAGGGGAGGGAAGGAAGGAAAAATAGAGGGAAGGAAGAAATGAAGGAAGGTGGGGGGGAGGGAGGGAGAGAAGGGAGAAAAACGTGTACACGCTATCTTTGTGTATAACTTTTACACTAACCTTACAAAGCCTCACCACAGATTTCCCCAGGCTCTTGTTTTTTTAACAGCAGCCTCTAATATGAAGTCTGTTTAGACATTTCTGATAATGAACAAAACCTGCAATTAATATTTTTCACATCAACGGCAGGTATTTAGCACCTTGAAGTATTTAGCACTCTCGTTTCTTTGAGAGACATCGCCTTGAGCTCAACTTGTGTGGGCATTTAATTTTTAGAAAAATCACTGCTGCAATATTTTTAAAAAGGCTTCCACTTCGAAGGGATAATAAGGTTGTGTTGCAGTCCTTCAGAGACAGCTGGCCAGCCCAGATATTGTCGTGCAAAGGAAATCTAAGGAAATGATTAGGTTATCCAGAGCCTGCCTGGCCTATAATTTATTCATTTTCTTACGACCTCAATTTATATGCCCTTTAATCTCCCTTTCCCTTAAGTGGGACAGGCTGTTTTGGTCTCATTTGCACTCTGCACATAATTTCACCCACAATTTAAAAAGCAGCTTCCCATAAAAACAACATGGCAAATCACTGGCATATGCCCGCTTTCCAATTTATACATTTTGGGGGGAAGGGATCCCCTAAGCAAAAATGCCTTTTTAAAAACTTTAAAACCCAAAGTTGGGGAGATCCTATATACAAGAACCTAACGCTGCTCAGCAAAATAGAGGTAATTCCTTGATTTACGACCACAATTTTGGTTGTTAAGTGAGACATTTGTCAAGTGAGCTTTGCCTCACTTTCTTGCCACAGTTGTTGCGTGAATCATGGCAGGTGTCATGCCAAGAAAAAGAAGGGAAGATGGGAAGAGAGCGAGGAAGGAAAAAGAAGGAAAGAAGGAAGGAAGGAAGGAAGGAAGGAAGGAAAGGAGAAAGGGAAAGAGGAAAGACAAAGAAAAAGAAGGGAAGATGGGAAGAGAGCGAGGAAAGAAAAAGAAGGAAAGAGGGGAAGGAAGGAGGAAAGGAAGGAAGGAAGGAAGGAAGGAAGGAAGGAGGAAAGGAAGGAGGAAGGGAAAGAGGAAAGACAAAGAAAAAGAAGGGAAGATGGGAAGAGAGCAAGGAAGGAAAAAGAAGGAAAGAGGCGAAGGAAGGAAGAAGAAAGGAGAAGGAAGAGGGAAGGAAAAAGAAGGGAAGGAAGGAAAGAAGGAAGGAAGGAAGAATAAAAGGAGATTATAAGAAGAATGCAGAAGGGTCTCAGGGAAATCCTGCCTTAGCACATGGCTACCACGGCCGCCCCCGACACGGGTCCCGTGTCACGCCCACCCTGGCCACGCCCACCCACCTGGTCCTCAGATGTCCAACACAACCAACCGAGTTTGGGGGATTCTGGGAGTTGAAGTCCACCCATCATAAAGTTGCCAAGTTGAAGAGATTCGGCTCTAGGCTAAGGAGCCCCTGGACGTCACTTTTCAAAGAGAAAAGACTCACATACCCTGATCCATCTGAGATGAGCAATTATTTCATAAGCCGGGCTCTTACAGCCGTGAAAAGTTGATTATTTCGTACCAAAATCATTGCAAGCTACATTTTAAAATTGTATAGAGATTATTGTATGGTCTGTTGTGTTTAATTTTATTTTTCTTTCAATGGTGTTGTCCAGTTTGACTTGTGGAAGAGCACCACATTTCGTTGCACCCGCTTGCGAGTGTAATGACAAATAAATTCTTATGTCTTGCCTCCCTTGTGGATATCTGGCACTTATTGTATGTCAAAATCAGAACTGGTGTATTCCAAGAGAAGCCAAGAAGCCCAACGCGTGCCGATAATGCAACCCAAGGCAGCGCGCAGACCCCAAATGAAAAGCCCAAACCGGAAGGAAACCGGGTTAGCACGATGGTGGTTGAGCAAGAAAAGGATTCCACCGCCCATCAATCATTGCAAGGCGCCCTAGGAAAAAGGACCCAGGAAATGAGGGGATGTTTTACGCAAGGGCTGAGAATGGGGGGAAGTGTGATTGTTGTTTGGGTGTCATTTTAGGAGGAACAGAAGCGACACACACACACACACACCCCTTCTCATTGGGCTTTTTACTAGCGCTGTCCACTTACTCGGTGTTTTAGGTGCTGTTGCCAATGGTGAAGCTGGCAGCCAACGGCGGGAAGGAATCATTATAGGGTGCCAATTTGAGAGAGAGAGGGGAGGAAGAGAGGGGGACGGAGGGAGGGAAGGAGGGAGAGAGGGGAGGGAGAAAAGGGGACGGAGGGAGAGGGGGGAGGGAGGGAGAGAAGGAGGGAGGGAGAGAGAGAGAGAGGGAGGGAGAGAAGGAAGGAGGGAAAGAGAGAGAGAGAGAGAGAGGGAGAGAAGGAAGGAGGGAAAGAGAGAGAGAGAGGGAGGGAGAGAAGGAAGGAGGGAAAGAGAGAGAGAGAGAGGGAGGGAGAGAAGGAAGGAGGGAAAGAGAGGGAGAGGGAGGGAGAGAGGGAGGAAGAGAGAGGGAGGGAGG